CGGTCAAATATTGCTGCAGTTCTTATACTGTAATCATACCACTTTGTAATATAAATTTTCCCCACTTTTTCCATGATAAAGATAGCTGTAGGCAAGGTGTGGTGGCTCACAACTATAATCCCAGTGCTTGAACCCGGAAGGTGGAGATTTCGGTGAGTTGAGATTGCACCACTGCACTCCAGCCTGGACAGTGACAGAGCCACACACTGTCTCAAAAAAATAAAAATTAAATAAATAAATAAACAGTGTTTCCTCTTTTATATAGCTATATAGACATAGATATATAACCATATACCATACCTGGATATAGACACACATAGAGATTTCTTTGTCAAAACTGGGGGCTCAAACTATGTGTATGTTCTGCAACTTCCTTTATTCATGTGACCTGTCATGAGCATATTTCCATGGCATCACTTATTTTGAATCCCAATGTTTATATTAAATCACATTTTAAACTGTGTTTACTGTATTCTTCTAAGACATTTATGCTATTTTAATGTACTGGTATTTATTTATTTATTTATTTATTTAGCGATAGAGTCTTTCTCTGTCACCAGGCTTATTTATTTATTTATTTATTTATTTATTTATTTATTTAGCAATAGAGTCTTTCTCTGTCACCAGGCTGGAGTGCAGTGGCATGATCTCGGCTCACTGCAACCTCCGCCTCCTGGGTTCAAGTGATTCCCCTGCCTCAGCCTCCCTAGTAGCTGGGACTACAGGTACGTGCCACCATGCCTGGCTGATTTTTTGTATTTTAGTAGAGATGGGGTTTTGCCATGTTGGCCAGGATTGGTCTCGATCTCCTGACATCGTGATCCACCTGCCCCAGCCTCCCAAAGTGCTGGGATTACAGGCATGAGCTACTGCACCCTGCCAGAAATGTATTGGTATTTAACATATTGATATGAAATATTACATTTGTTAGCAAATATTTTACACACACAGATACAAAAAGCGTCTGTACACCTACTGTCCTACTTAAAGGAGCATCGTTATTATAATGCCGTTGATTAACTCTACATACCTTTTCTGAATCTCATTTCCTTCCTTACCTTCAGAAGTAACTACTGAACTGAATTTTATGTTGGAAGTTATCATTTATGACATTAAATGATATTCTCTTTTTAAAGTTTCCAGTGGCGATTGGAGTACCACAGTAACTGAGAATGTTCACAGTATTACTGTGAAAATTCTTATATATGTGGCTCCTTGAATCATACAAGTTTCTTCTCTTTTTTTTTTGAGATGGAGTTTTGCTCTTGTTGCCCAGGTTGGAGTACAGTGGTGTGATCCCAGGTCACTGCAACCTTAGCCTCCTGGGTTCAAGTGATTCTCCTGCCTCAGCTTCCCAAGTAGCTGGGATTACAGGCCTATGCCGATACACCTCACTAATTTTATGTTTTTAGTAGAGACAGGGTTTCTCCATGTTGGTCAGGCTGGTCTCGAACTCCCGGCCTCAGGTGATCTGACCGCCTCAACCTCCCAAAGTGCTGGGATTACAGGTGTGAGCCACTGTTCCCAGCCTCTTTTTTTTTTTTCTTTTTGAGACAGAGCCTCGCTCTGTCACCCCGGCTGGAGTGCAGTGGTGTGATCTTAGCACAGCCTCAACCTCCCAAGCTCAAGCCATCCTCCCAACTCAGCCTCCCAAGTAGCTGGGACTTGAGGCATGTGCCACCATGTCCAGCTAATTTTGTTTATTTTTTGTAGAGAATAGGCCTCACTACGTTGCCCAGGGTGGTCTTGAACTCCTGGGGTCAAGCGATCCTCCCACCTAGGCCTCCCAAAGTACTGGGAATAGAAGCATGATCCACCCCACCCAGCCTACTCATGCAAGTTTCTCCTGAGTGTCTTCCTCAGGTGGAATTGCTGGGTCATAGAAATTGCATGTGTTCAATGTTACTGAATAAACCATATTGTTTTCCAGAGGGCTTGTTCCAATTTACTATACTTTAGAAGGCTATCAGCACTGAATAACTTTTTTAAAAAGAGTACATGATTCTAACATAATTAGCCATTAGAAAATTTGTGGCTGGGCATGGTGGCTCACTCCTGTAATCCCAGCACTTTGGGAGGCTGAGATGGGCAGATCACTTGAAGTCAGGAGTTTGAGACCAGTCCGGCCAACATGGTGAAACCCCATCTCTACTAAAAATACAAAACTTAGCCAGGCATGGTGGTGCACAACTGTAATCCCAGCTACTCGGGAGGCTGAGGCAGGAGAATCGCTTGAACCTGGGAGGCAGAGGTTGCAAGATTGCTCCACTGCACTCCAGCCTGGGTGACAGAGAGCAAGAGCAAAATATATACAAGTTCTTGACTAGATTGTTATTATTTCAGACCCTGATTAGGCACCCACCCCCCCATGAATTGTATAATTTTTTTATCTCATTATTTCAAAATGTCAGAATTCATCCTCTGAATCCTTTATCAGAACCACGTCCCACAGACTTGGTGTTATGGTAAACTGAGGAACGGAGAGACTGATATGGGAAAAGAGAAGGATATTCATTTTAAGGTATGCACTGGCTCAGTGGATTCACATCTAAAAAGCTGAGCACTGAACAAAGACAGAGCGGGAGCGGGGTTTTTATAAGTGGGCTTACAAAAGCAAAACAAAGGCAGTTAATCATATAGTGCATAACTTGTGGCCTTGCATACCTGGTGACCTTGTAGCTGCGTCGAAAGAAAAACAAGAACTGGCTAAATACATTTGTAAAACATAGTCATGCTTAAGAAGCTAGGGAAGGCCGGGCGCGGTGGCTCAAGCCTGTAATCCCAGCACTTTGGGAGGCCGAGACGGGCGGATCACGAGGTCAGGAGATCGAGACCATCCTGGCTAACACGGTGAAACCCCGTCTCTACTAAAAATACAAAAAACTAGCTGGGCGAGGTGGCGGGCGCCTGTAGTCCCAGCTACTCGGGAGGCTGAGGCAGGAGAATGGCGTGAACCCGGGAGGCGGAGCTTGCAGTGAGCTGAGATCCGGCCACTGCACTCCAGCCTGGGCGACAGAGCCAGACTCCATCTCAAAAAAAAAAAAAAAAAAAAAAAAGGAGGGAAAGGAGTAGCAGTAAAGGAATTTGTCTCTCTCTCTCTCTCTCTCTCTCTTTTTCTCTTTCAACATTGCTCTGGAAGCGGGAGAGGTGTCTGGAGCCTATTCCTTTGGCCTTGGCTTTTTGGACAGTGTTATTTTATAACTGTCCTTTAAGTGAGAGGAAAGCTTGTTTCTTTTCTTTTTAACCTTTGTCTTGCCTGTTACTTTTCTTGGAGTGAATGAATGCATATTTATTTTTAAATTTTCTGCCTCACTGGCAGATATTAAACTAGATGTCCCCAAAAACCTGCAACCATTTTCTTACTAATAAAATCTGGAAATATTATTTATTTAGTTAGTTTTATAATAAAGACAGGGCCTTGCTTTGTTGCCCAGGACGGTCTTGAATTCCTAGGCTTAAGCGATCCTCCTGCCTTGGTCTCCCAAAGTGCTGGGATTACAGGCGGGAACACCGAGCCTAGCCTCAAAATCTGAAAGTATTGAATTTAGGACACATCCAATCCAAGAGCATCAGGCCTCTTGTTACTGGATAGAATTGTGTTTTGGTGGCCAGGCATGTTGGCTCATGCCTATAATCCCAGCAGTTTGGGAGGCCAAGGTGGCTAGATCACTTGAGGTCAGGAGTTCGAGACCAGCCTGGCCAACATGGTGAAATGCTGTCTCTACTAAAAATACAAAAATTAGCTGGCTGTGATGGTGTGCACTTGTAATCCCAGCTACTGGGGAGGCTGAGACAGGAGAATCACTTGAACCCGGGAGGCGAATGTTGCAGTGAGCTGAGATTGCACCATTGCACTCCAGCCTGGGTGACAGAGGGGAACTCGGTCTCAAAAAAAAAAAAAAAATTGTGCTTTGGTGGGGAGGGTCCTGTAGCTAAGGGAAGGAACGCTGTGACCAAGTGTCCTGCCCCACGGATTGCATCGTCTGCGTGGGTGAGGAACTTAGAGTGAGCCTGGAGTGCAGACTGTCAGCCTCTGAGGTTTCAGGTTGTGTTTTAGACTGGACCTCAATGCCCAGCTCCACCCAGCTAACTCCAGTGGTAAATGTTTGGCGGAAACACCTCTTATTTGTTGCAGTTAACATAGTTAACATACAAGGAGCTGGGCAAGTGACACGGGGGAATAAATTTTTTTTTTTTTTTTGAGACAGAGTCTCACTCTATGCCAGGAAACATTGTAGTGCAGTGGCATGATCTCGGTTCACTGCAACCTCCTCCTCCCAGGTTCAATCAATTCTTCTGCCTCAGCCTCCCAAGTAGCTGGGACTACAGGCATGCGCCACCATGCCCAGCTAATTTTTGTATTTTTGCTAGAGACGGAGTTTTGCCATGTTGTCCAGGCTGCTCACAAACTCCTGATCTCAGGTGATCCGCCTGCCTCGGCCTCCCAAAGTGCTGGGATTACAGGCTTGAGCCACCATGCTCGGCCGGAAAATTTTTTAAAAGAAAGAAATAGGCTGGTCGTGGTAGCTCACATCTGTAATCCCAACACTTTGGGAGGCCAAGGAGGGAGGATCACTTGAGCCCAGGAGTTCAACACAGCCTGGGAAACACAGTGAGACCCCCTCATCTCTATTTAAAAACATAAATAATAAATAAAATTAAAAATAAAAACATGGTGCAAAGACTCATTTTGTTACTCATGGTTGCATTTTAATTAAGAATATAAGCAGTCTTTGAAGTTCTTTTGGGACCTACACTGCTACAAGCGCATAATGTCAAACGCAGATTTCAAAAGAGGCCCCCCACGGGGGGTTCATTAATTGCAAAATCAGAGCAGAGGTCCCTTGCTTCCCTCACCTACCCTTATCCTAAGTGGTGGTGGCAGCAGCGCGGAGCAGCTTCTGAAAGTCCGGGAGCTCTTTTATTCCTCCTCTGCAAAGCAAAGGTGTCACAGGGCGCGGCTTTGCCAGAAAGCGCACTCCAAACCGTGCACTTCTCAGTCTGCAGGCGCTGAGCCCCCGGAGGAGGAGGGGCGGGGCCAAGGCCTCCTCCCAGCCCGGCTTTGCAGAGCAGAGATCTGATGTCTGGAGTCTACAGAAGCACTTGCAGAACTGATCAGAAGCCACCCCGCTTATCGGCAGATCTTAGGAGAGTGTTCGGTGGAGGCCCTGCAGGTCTGCGCAGCTCACCTCCCTGGGAACTGCTCGCCTGTGCGTCGGAGCCGGCGCTGGCACCCTGCAGTCAGAAAGTTGCAGCCGCGGGAGCCCCGGATGCCTAGGACGCAAGGTAAGTCGCGGCCTTTTTCCTTCCCTGCGCCAACTTTCTGATTTCGCCGACTTTACTTTTCCTCTTCCAGGCTTGCTCTCTGAGTCTACATTTATTCTTCTTAATCGCGTAGGCAAATCATTTCCTAGAATCTCCAGGCTTTCTTTCTATTGATTTATTTTTTGGGGAGCTTCACTGTCTAATCTCACAGCCGCTGCCTGTTTCCAAACAGCACGAATGAATGATACAGTCCTGCACAGGAGCACCCTCGGTGCAAGATTGGTGCAATCCCAAACTCAGAGTTGAAGTGTCCGACTTTGTCGTCGTCTCCTTTCCCATTAGAATTAGAATTTTAAAATAAGTACCTACCAGGTACATTGTTATAACGATACAACTTCAAGTTGAGAATTAAATAAATCATGCTTTCGTTCATTAAATGTATTTACTATCTTTTCTTTTCTTTCTTTTTTGAGGCAGAGTCTCGCCCCGTCGCCCAGGCTGGAGTGCAGTGGCGCGATCTTGGCTCACTGCAACCTCCGTCTACTGCGTTCAAGGGATTCTCCTGCCTCAGCCTCCTGAGTAGCTGGGCACATGCCACCATGCCCAGATAATTTTTATATTTGTAGTACAGACAGGATTTCACCATGTTAGCCAGGCTTGTCTCAAACTCCTGGGCTCAAGCGATCCACCCGCCTTAGCCTCCCAAAGTGCTGGGATTACAGGCATGAGCCACCTGGCTGCTATATTTTCTTTACGTATGTTTGCATATTATTACTTTTTAAATATTTGATGACTGATAATTGGAATGAAAATCAGGGAGGAAAATAATAAAATCCAATATTCCTGTATTACAGTGCCAGGTAGGTTTTCAATATCATGACCATAGTCCTGTCACTTTCATGTTGGTGAAACAAAGTAGTCAGGACTTTAAAAATTTTCAAATGATTTAATATATGCCTGATGCCTACCTTCCTTTCCTTCCTTCTTTTCTTTGTTGTTTTAAGAGACAGGGTCTCACTTGGTCACCCAGGCTGGAGTGCAGCGGTGCAATCATAGCTTATTGCAATCTCAAACTCCTGAGCTCAAGTGATCCTCCTGCCTCAGTCTCCCAAGTAGCTGGGACTACAAGTATGCAACCACCATGCCTGGCTCATTTATTTTATTTTTTGTAGAGATGGCGTCTCACTATGTTGCCCAGGCTGGTCTTAAACACCTAGGCTCAAGCAATCCTCCCACCTCAGCCTCCCAAAGTACTGGGATTAGAGGGGTGAGCCCCCATGCCTGGCCTTTTTTTATTTTATTTTTTAGAAAATACTTGGACTAGCTGGGCATGGTGGCTCGCGCCTGTAATCCCAGCACTTTGGGAGGCTGAGGCGGGCGGAACACCTGAGGTCAGGAGTTCGAGATCAGCCTGGCCAGTATTGTGAAACCCTGTCTCTACTAAAAATACAAAGTTAGCCACGCATGGTGGTGCATGCCTGTAATCCCAACTCTCGGGAGGCTGAGGCAGGAGAATTGCTTGAACCTGGGAGGTGGAAACTGCAGTGAGCTGAGATTGCGTCATTGCACTCCAGCCTGGGCGACAGGAGTGAGACTCCATCTCAAAAAAAAAAAAAAAAAGAAAATATTTGGACTAGAATTAGGGTGAAAGGGATCCTCAAGTTTGCCTAGACCAGCCTGTTATCAGAGACTTTTTTAAAGCCAGTGTTTTATTGCTATATAACTAAATACAATAAAATGCACTTTTCAAGTGCACATTTTGATGAGTTTTGACAAATTTATTCATACTTGTAATCATCACCACAATAACATTTCCATCACCCAGAAGTTTCCTAGGGCCTCTTTCCAGTCAGCCCCCTGTTGCAACTCCTATCCCTACTGATCTGATCGTTGTCATTACAGCGTTTGTATTTTCTAGTGTTTCATATAACTCAAACAGTATGTGCTCTTGTGTCTGGCTCCTTTCCATCAGTATAATTTTTTTTTTTTGAGATGGAGTTTCGCTCTTGTTGCCCAGGCTGGAGTGCAGTCTCAGCTCACTGCTGCTACCTCCGCCTTACAGGTTCAAGTGATTCTCCTGGCTCAGCTTCCTGAATAGCTGGGATTATAGGCAAGGGCCACCACACCGGCTAATTTTGTATTTTTAGTAGAGACGGGGTTTCACCATGTTGGTCAGGCTGGTCACTGCTGACCTTAGGTGATCTGCCCACCTTGGCCTCCCAAAGTACTGGGATTACAGGTGTGAGCCACTGTGCCTGGCCTTCCATTGGTATAATTGTTTGTTTTTTTTTAGACTGAGTCTCTCTGTGTCCTCCAGGCTGGAGTGCAGTGGCGCAATCTTGGCTCACTGCAACCTCTGCCTCCTGGGTTCAAGCGATTCTCCTGCCTCAGCCTCCCAAGTAGCTGGGACTACAGGCGTGTGCCACCATGCCCGGCTAATTTTTTGTATTTTTAGTATAGACGGGGTTTCACTGTGTTAGCTAGGATGGTCTCAATCTCCTGATCTCGTGATCCGCCCACCTCAGCCTCCCAAAGTGCTGGGATTATAGGCATGAGTCACCAGACCCAGCCCTGTTGGTATAATTTTAAAAATATTTATCCATGTTGTAGCATGTATCAGTAATTCATTTTTTTTTAAATTACTGAGTAGTGTTCCATTGTAGGGATATACCACAATGTGTTTAGCTATTTATCTGTTGATGAACATTTGGATTTTTTTTTTTTTTTTTTTTTTGAGGCGGAGTCTCGCTCTGCCGCCCAGGTTGGAGTGCCGTGGCCGGATCTCAGCTCACTGCAAGCTCCGCCTCCTGGGTTCACGCCATTCTCCGGCCTCAGCCTCCCGGAGGCTGGGACTACAGGCGCCCGCCACCTCGCCCGGCTAGTTTTTTGTATTTTTAGTAGAGACGGGGTTTCACCGTGTTAGCCAGGATGGTCTCGATCTCCTGACCTCGTGATCCGCCCGTCTCGGCCTCCCAAAGTGCTGGGATTACAGGCTTGAGCCACCGCGCCCGGCCGATGAACATTTGGATTTTTTTCTAGTGTCGGGCAGTCACAAATAAAGCTGCTATGGATATGTTTTCATTTCTTTCGAATAAAACTCCAAGATTGGGATTGCTGGGGTTTTTAAAAATTTTTATTTTTTGAGATGGAGTTTCACTCTTGTTGCCCAGGCTGGAGTGCAATGGCACAATCTTGGCTCACTGCAACCTCTGCCCTCTGGGTTCAAGCAATTCTCCTGCCTTAGCCTCCCTAGTAGCTGGGATTACAGGCATGTGCCATCATGCCTGGAAATTTTGTATTTTCAGTAGAGATGGGGGTTTCACCATGTTGGTTAGGCTGGTTTTGAGCTCTGACCTCAGGTGATCCACCTGCCTCAGCCTCTGAAAGTGCTGGGATTACAGTCATGAGCCACCGCGCCTGGCCTTGCTGGGTCTTATGGTAAGTATATGTTTAACTTTATAAGAAACTGCGGGCCCAGTGTGGTGGCTCATGGCTGTCATCTCAGCACTTTGGGAGGCTGATGTGGGAGGATCCCTTGAGGCCATGAGTTTAAGGTTAGCCTGGGCAACATAGTGAGACCCTGTTTCTACAAAAAAAAAAAAAAAAATAGCTAGACATGGTGGTGTGCATCTGTAGTCCCCGCTACTCAGGAGGCTGAGGCAGAAGGATTGTTTAAGCCCAGGAGTTCTAGGCTGCAGTGAGCTATGATTGCACTGCTGCACTCCAGCCTGGGCGACAAAGACCATGTCTCAGACGCGTGCGTGCACACACACACACACACACACACACACAGAGCTGTTGTCTTTGCTCCCTTGTAATTGGGCAGCAGATCCTGTCTCTGATTCATCATGGAATGCTGTTGTCTCTGTCCCGTTTTTATTTATTTATTTATTTATTTATTTATTTATTTATTTATTTATTTTTGGGACGGAGTCTCGCTTTATCACCTAGGCTGCAGAGCAGAGGCACGATCTCGGCTCACTGCCAACTCTGCCTCTGGGATTCAAGCAATTCTCCTGCCTCAGCCTCCCGAGTAGCTGGCACCACAGGCATGTGCAACCATACCCAGTGAATTTTTTTTTTCTTTTCTTTTGAAACGGAGTGTCTCTCTGTTGCCCAGGCTGGAGTGCAATGGCGTGATCTGGGCTCACTGCAACCTCTACCCACTGGGTTCAGCGATTCTCCTGCCTCAGCCTCCCAAATAGTTGGGATTACTGGCATGTGCTGCTATCGCCTGGCTAATATTTTTGTATTTTTAGTAAAGATGGGGTTTCACCATGTTGGCCAGGCTGGTCTGGAACTCCTGACCTCAAGCGATCCACCAGCCTTGGCCTCCCAAAGTGCTGGGATTACATGCGCGAGCCACTGAGCCCTCCTGAGTCTGCTTCTTTGTCTATGCGTTTAGTTCTCCCAAGAGATTCTCTTTCCCTCTCCCTCTCCCTTGTCTTTGTACCCTGCTAATCAGGTATATGTGATTTCCTGTCAGACCTGAACCTTGCAGAATTGAAGCTACAGAAAAGAATACATTGACTCTGCAGTGCTTGAAGGGGGTAAAAGTAAAGCATTACCCAGAGGAAGCAGGGTTAGGAAATTTTGCCTCTGACCCATTTTTGTGCCAGTCCCACCAGGAGAGAGAGTGAAGCCAGACAGTCTCCCTCTTTCCTGTTTTGTGTCTGGACTTTGATGTTCATTTCCTCATTCTTTCTAGGCTCTTGCTCTTGCAGAATCCACAGGTCTTTCTTGAAGAAATCTGTAGTCAGAACTTTGTGCTGCATTTTTATCTAGGGAAGGAACAGGACAAGAGTGTGGTCTCCTAGAAATCTAGCACTGGAGAAACGTGAGTCTGATTTGTCTTTTTTTGGTCTTGTTTTGTTTTTTTTTTTTTGCTGTCATTGTAATATTTTTATGCATTGGACTGTTATATGTTATACTGTTACACTATGTTGGCTAGACTGGTCTCGAACTCCTGACCTCGTGATCCACCCGCCTCAGCCTCTCAAAGTGCTAGGATTACAGACATGAGCCACCATGCCCAGCCTTGCCTCTTGGCTGTTACCAAAGGATGTTTGCTTCCAAAGAAGCTGGAAGATGCAGCCCCAGTGAGCCTTTGCAGGGGAGCAAGAGAGCCACAGGTAAGGACAACTGAGTTAGACAGGTGGGACAGGGCCTATGGGGAGGGCAGAGTGCATCACATTCCCCCACCCAGACTCACGGGCCACGGCATCATGGCCCCATTCAAGGCCCCACTCCTGTCTGTCTGATTGTGTGATTCCCAGTTATTCCCATTCCCCCAACAGATAAACACTCCAATGGGTTCAATGCATACACTTTTATTAAATCTCACTCTGTCACCCAGGCTGGAGTGCAGTGATGTGATCATAGCTCACTGCAGCCTCCAACTCCCAGGCTCAAGTGATCCTCCCATCTCAACCTTCTGAATAGATGTGATCACAGGTACACACCACCATACTCAGGTACATTTTAATTTTTTTGTAGGGACAGGGTCTTGCTATGTTGTCCAGGCTTGTCTCGAATTCCTGACCTCAAGTGATCCTCCCACCTCAGCCTCCCACAGTACTGTGATTACAGGGATGAGCCACTGCCTTTGGCCTAAATGTGCTCTTAAACACCTGTGTTGTTATTTTGTACGTGGGTATTTTAATGTACACAAATGGCAATGAGTTGTGGCCTTATGGCGCCACTTAGGCATTTGCTTCCTGTTTCAGCAGCACTAACTAATTGTTTTTTCTTTGTTTTTTTGAGATGAGTCCGCTCTGTTGGCCTGCGAGTGCATGGCGTGATCTGGATCACTGCAACCTCGCCCTCACAGTTCAATCAAGCGATTCTCCTCCCAGCCTCCTGTGTAGCTGGGAAATCAGGTAGTGCCACCACCCAGGCCCAGCTAATTTTTTTGATTTGTGAAACAATTCAACCATGTTGGTCATGCTGATCATACTCCTGACCTCAAAATGGTCCCCTGGCCCCTTGGCTCCCAAAGAGTCTGGATGCGGCATGAGCCACGCGTCCAGCCAACACTAAGCTTTAAATGACCTGTGTGTGCTCTAGCCTGTCCCGGTCTCCACTGCTATACCATTCCTGTGTCTACCAGCCTCAACCTGCCACCGTCCTGTGAGGAACCCACAGGCACCCACCTTCCCAAAGCCAAACAAATGTTCATTGAGATGACCAGCTTGGACATGGGATGACTCTGCAGAGGTGAACCTAAAGTAATGATGGCCATCAAGTGAGAGGCTGGACCAACAGCCGGCTTGGGAGCCTTCGAGTGCTGTGATGTGTAAAGATTCATGCATTCCAGGATGTCACCCGCCGAGGAGAATATGTGTGGACCAAAGAGAGGGTACCCCAGGAGGGTGCACCAAATAGTAGGCCCCAATTCATCCCTAGTCAGGTCCCCTAAGTGCAATTAGAAAAAATCCTAACAGAAAACAGAAGTGCCAATTAGGTCCGCCAAACCAACAGAGCAGTCCTCACCCTCAGTTGAAAGCCCGTCCAAGTGACAGAAAAGCTGGAAAGCCAGAAGGAAGAGGAACACCAGCTCAGGCCAGCAATCGGCTTCATAAAATCACCAAGACTATTCTTCTTGTTTGTGTTGTTAAAGAGATAAGGTCTCACTATCCACCAAGGCCCTGATGTGCAGTGACCCCAATCACCGGCTGCACTCGCCACCACCTTGAACTTGTTGGGCAAGTAATCCTCCCAGCTCAGCCGCTGAGTAAGCTGAGAACCACAAGGTCACAACCACCCGAACCGCCTGCTAACTTTTATTTTATTTTTATTTTTGAAAGAGGGGCAGTCGCTCTCCGTCACCCGGCTGGAGTGGCAAATGTGGCATCTGCTC